AAGTTTAGAAAATTTAGATTGCAACCTGTTTGCATTTTTATACTTTCGAGCCAACGAGATCAATTACTATAGCAGCACATCAAAACCCATAAGAAAACTACAACGAAAGTCTTACCTTCACACCTTCTTCATTTATCATGAATCACCCACCATCTCGCCAGATTTGTCCGAGCCATACGACCAGCTGGCGACTTGGGTGAACAACTCTTTGTACCGTCGCGCGAAATCTTCGAACAGCAAGGCGATGGAATTCTTCGACAAGTATTGACTTATCTTTGATTCTGGTAGATGATACCATGTCCGTACTGGTGGGGATACATATCAAGTCCTTTGATCTAGTGGCAAAAATGCATGGACTTTCACACTCGAGTCTTTGTCTTATCATCTTCTAGTACCAGTTTTCTCTTTTCGTTTCTGCAGGATCAAGCACATCTTCGAGACCACGGCGCCCAAACTTTGCGAAGCGGCAACTGTTGTGGTGAAGCTCGGAGAAATTGGCGGCTCGGCTGTCGAGTTGCAAGAGTCGGACGATGAAGGTGGACCAATGGGCCTCGGTAACCCCTCTAACTTCGAGTTTGAAGAGACCCAAGTTGCTCCGCCAGCTGATGACCCCAGTGAGCCTGAGGGACCTCCTCAGCAGCCGGCTGTCGATGTTGCCGAAGTGCTGTCCCGCCGTTTGACGTTCCGTGAGTTGGAGGATATGCATCGTGTTCTGGCTTCCGCTGAGATCGCGTTGTTCGACTACCATACGCAAAAGCTGCGTCGCATCCTTGATGATGCCGAGTGGGAGCGCGCTACGGAGGCGGTACTGATAGTCTATAAATTTGCTTCAAACTACTTTGGCCTCTTATGAACTGAAAGACTTTAGTATAGTTCTACTCTCGTAACAAGATGCAAGAATTGTTCTACTGGAAACCATACGCAAAGAATCCGCCAAAAACCTAAAAAGTAAATTGGAAAACTCTACTATTTTTGTATGAAGATTCTCATTAGTGTTTTCCTATCGGTATACCAAACTCCTCACACAGGCACTGGAGGAGTATTTTGCTATTCCGGTCGGACAACGCGATGAGGCGAAGCTCGAACGCGCCCTCAAGCTGCAGCGTGGTGGCGCTTCGAATCAAGATCGTTTCTGGCGTGTTTTTGGTACGATTGCTACGCAGCAGAAACTCATTCCCTCCGCGGAAGAGTGTTGCAAGGCTGTGCTGGGCAAGAATGTGATCGAGCCTTCCACAATCGAGCCAGTCCGTGCGAAAGTCCCCACTCTCAGCGCTTACGTGGATATGCGTGTTGAGACCTACGAGAAGATGGCTCGCGCCATGGAGGCAGGATGGACGATGTACTACCATGTGAATAGTTGTTCATGTGATGCTGTAGCGTCTTTTCATGTTTCAAGAGAGAAGTACTTGAGTGCATCAGTTTCACGTTTTAACTGTACAGGAAATTCATGCTTTCTATATAACAAAATCGTGACGATTTCTATCCTAGGACTTCGCATTTTTCTACCTTAAGCTTCCTCTTCAACGTTTTCATGTGTTTTCTTTTCCTTCCCCATCAGTTTCAACTGCCGCGACTTCATGATCAAGAATTGCACAACCTCCGAGTTGTCCTGCGATGTGCAGGAGATGGCTGGCATTTGCAACGACAAGGACAACGAGCAAAAAGAGGTGTTGGCGAAGTTGGTCAACGGTGAGGTGGAGGACTTGACAGCGTTTCAATGGACCTTTCATGGTCGTTGGGATGGAGATCGTGCCTTCATCTTGGAGTTGGCGAAGGGCCAGGCCTTGATGTTCGAGACCTACCGCCCGCTGTGGGTCCATCGTGAAGAGCCGGACATGGTGAAGGTTTTCATGAAGAAGCAAGTGGAGAAGAAGGGCATCACAGTCGAGCAGGCGAACAAGATGCTGCCCAAGATCAAGGCAGCAGTGGACAAAGATCCCAGTACTATGATTCTTTACTTTCCTATGCTTCTACCTATAGGCTCTGT